CTATCAAACTGTATTATAAAGTGGTAACTTAGCTAATTAGTAGAATAGATTAAGTACATATTAAATTATAGTAAATGATCATAGTAATCTAGTATATGAGAAACCCAAAGATCTAATCTTTTGGAACAAAAACTACTAAAACTACTGGGAAAAGTGGAAAATGGTATGGCAGAAGCTAGGTACAGACCAACATCTCACCATATACTAAGATAAGGTCAAAATGGGTACATGATTTACACATAAAGAGTGATACCATAAGCAAATTAGGAGAGCATGGAATAGTTTATTTGTAAGATCTATGGATAAGGGAAGAATTTAGGACCAAAGAAAATATAGAAAGCATTACAAAATGTAAAATAGATAATTTTGATTATGTAAAATTAGAAAGATTTTGCACATACAAAACCAATGCAACTAAAATTAAAAGAAAAGCCAAAAATTGGGTGGGGGGAGAATTTTGCAACAAGCATCTCTGATAAAGGTCTCATTTCTCAAATATATAGAGAACTAAGTCAAATTTATAAAATTACAAGTCACTTCTCAATTGATAAATGGTCAAAGGATGTGAACAGGCAGATTTTCAGATAAAGAAATCAAAGTTAACTATAGTCATATAAAAAAAATCTTCTAAATCACTATTTATTAGAGAAATACAAATTAAAACAACTCTGAGGTACCACTCTCATACCAATCAGATTGGCTAATATAATAAAAAAGGAAATGACAAATGTTGGAGGGGATGTGGGAAAAGTGGGACACTAATGCATTTTGGTGAAGCTGTGAACTGATAACAACCATTCTGGAGAACAATTTGGAACCATGCCCAAAGAGCTATAACATTGTGCATAACCTTTGATCCAGCAATACCACTGCTAGGTCTATATCCCAAAGACATCCAAAAGAAAGGGGAAAAGACTTACATGTACAAAAATATTTATAGCAGCTCTTTTTGTGGTGTTTAAGAATTGGAAATTGAGAGGTTACCCATCAATTTGGGGAATGGCTAAACAAGTTATGGTAGATGATTGTGATGGAATATTATTGTGCTATAAAAAATGACAAGCAGAACGATTTCAGAAAAAAACCTGGAAAGACTTATATGTACTGATGCAAAATGAAGTGAGCAGAACCAGGAGAACGTTGTATAGAGTAACAGCAATATTGTAGGATGAAGAGTTGTGAATGACTTAGGTATTCTCAGCAATACAATGATTTAAGACAATGCCAAAGGGCTCATGATGAATCATGCGCATCCTTCCTTCCTTCCCTCCTTCCTTCCTTCCTTCCTTCCTTCCTTCCTTCCTTCCCTCCTTCCCTCCTTCCTTCCTTCCTTCCTTCCTATCTTCTTGTATAAAATTACTAATATGGAAATGTTTTACATGATTGCACATGTATAAATTATATCAGATTGCCTACTATCTCAGAGAAGGGGAAGAGGAGGGAAGGAGGGAGGGATAAATTTGAACTGAAAACTTTAAAAAAAATGCTAAAAAATGTTTTAACATGTAATTGGGGGAAAATAAAATATTATTTTAAAAAATAACATAATTAAGATTTGTGCTAAAATTGGACATAAGTGGGTTGGTGTTCTTTCTACTGCTCTTGAGCATAGTTGAAACCACTGAAAACATGGCCTAACACCATATGTCAGCCAGACCTGTAGATGCCCCAATTAGGAGATGGGAACAGGACAGCCTACAGTAAGATGATAATGAAATGTTCAACAATAGGCATCAAAAGTTCTGGATAGCTGCCTGATGCTCCCCCAGAAAAATCTCCAGTTAGGAGAATGGGTCTCTATAAAGACTTATCAGTGGGGAAGATGCTTGTTAAGGCATCAGACAGTCTGTCTCTAGTCCGGCCCACCACCAGTACTGTCATCTGTCAAGATGACCACCAGATTTTGAAACCAGAAATGGGCACACACTTCGCAGTACAATGGAATGCTATTCCCCAGACAACTTGTCCTCCTCAGCGTAGCAGTAGCATTTTGCAGATCAAAGATCATGGCCTGGAGGTCTTAACCCTTTCAGCTCTGGAATTCCCATTCTGGGGCTCTGATTGGTGTTTTCATCACTTAGCCTATTACATCTAGGCTGGCTCCAGCTATGCTTCACATTATTCCCTACACTTCATACTTATATCAGCCCTGTCCCCTTAAGGATACCCTGTACTCTTTCTGAAACCATAATAAAATCTACATTATTATTATTACTGGAAAGGATGTATTAATCTACTCACCCTATGACTCCATTTACAATCTCTGTGTCTTTTCAAAACAAAATATTCCTCCCTGGACATGATTCTCCTATATGTGATGGCTTCTGTATTACAATGTTAAGGGACTGTATTGCTTTTGTATTTGTATCTCTAGTGCTTAACACAGTCCACATTTAATAATATTTTCCACTCACTCACTCACTCACTCATCCTGTTGCTTTCTTGCACTACTGTGCCGCCATTGGGATTAGGGAAAAGAACCCCAACACAAGCATTTCAGCCTGATTTCCTCCCATTCAGGACTTTCTACCCCTCTACACGGATGTGAGCTGGCTCCTGTGACCGAGATCTGCTGGCTTAGACATCTCATCCTAGATCCTCACCCTCATTTAAGTTTTATTTATTATGACCACTGTCCTTGAAGTTTTTCCTATCCTATCCAAGGATGTGACCTGTGCTTTCTGTCATCCCAGAGCTAGGGACACTATCCAGATCCTCTTCTTACCACATGTTCCGAGGACCTGGAGGGCTAATTCTGAGCTATCGGTGATAGAGACTATTAAGTAAAGCTGCGAGAGCTTCAGAGAAATCCAGTCAAACTGGTCTTCTTGCTATTCCTCACACATGGGGTTCCATGTCCCACTGTGTGCCTTTGTACTGGCCACCCCTTGCCCCTCAAATGAGCTTCCTTCTCACCCTCCATTCCTCAGAATCCTGAGGTTGCTTCGAGGCTCAGCTCAAATGCTCACCTCCACGTATGGCCTTGACTCATCCTCCCTATTGCTACTGCCGTCCCCCCAAATTACTCCCATCTTGTTTTTCCTGGATATACTGTAAGATTCTTGAGGGCAGAGGCAGTTTTTGCTTTTATGTTTGTATCCCCAGTATCTAGAACTAAACTTGGGAAAGAGCAATTGCTTAATAAATGCTTGTTTATTGTGGAGGAAAAGAAAGAGTGGCCCTACTTATCTCTTCTCTACCCTGTCAGGAGTGACTCCATCCTTAAACTAGCCACCATTTCAGTGTAAAATGAGCAGTTACATCTAACCCTCATGTTTATGTTTCTGCTATTTACCTGCTATGCTGGCCACAGGGAAAAACCAAGTGACCTTACTCTGTTTCCCTTGAGGTTGATGACAAGTTAGTAATCAAGTGCCCAGCCACCACTGTCACCTGCAAACCTGAACTTACTCTATTCCATTTTTTTCTGCATCCTTCACTATACGTAGGCAGGTGATTGTGTTCTGAGCTCACTTGGCTGACACAGGAATGTTGCCAATCCACGATCTCTCCCTTCCATTGCTTGTCATAACAATGAAGCTTCTCCACTTGACCAATATGTGAATAGCACTCCTTTTACTACAACCAGCCTGAAGAAGAGATGAAAAAACATACTTCCTTCCCCTTAACTGCATAGTTGGGAGTGCGATGGAAGTGGAACATAAGATATAATGTATTATCATACTAAGGAAACAGGTTGGTTAGTTTTACAAAACTGTTTTCTTTCTTTTTTATTTTCTTTTATTTTACAAGGGGCAGCTTTTGTTGGGTCAGGGATGGGAGAAAGATTTATTCAGAAATGAACATGATACAAAAACAAAAGATATCAATAAAAGTTTTAAATTAAAAAAAGAAAAGAGATCAGTAACAGCAGCAAATGATACCATGGCAGAAAGGATTAGGGAGGTAATAAGGAAAAGAAAGAGAATTACATGTTAAAGATTGACAAGCAAAAAGGTGAAGCTATGCACGTCTCAGGAAGCTATATTATTAAATGACAGATCCAATGTTATGATTAAAACGATGGTCCTAGTCTTCAGCTATGTAGGAGCTAAGGCCATTGGTCTCATGGTATGAAATACAAAGCTGTACTCTGGCAGTTATTTATGTGGTGTAGTTATTTAAGTCCAGCATTAGGCTGGTGGAAATCTAAAACCTAGTAAGATTGTGATGAAGACTATCCCTTCTCTTTAGCTCAATTTCCATGGAGACCCTCTTGTGAATGGGGCTATTACTGAATATACAAAATTACTTTAACTAGTATAGAACTGATTCATAATTTTCTAGGCTTAAAAACTCTCCCTTTTAAAGAACATGAAACAGCATAAAGACAAGCAGAATTTATTCTAGTCATAATTTTTCTCCCTTTCTACTTGAAAAAGAGACCTGTTTCTCTATCTTCTTCTCTTTAGCATGCCTTTTCTCCATCCCATCTCCCCCCCGCCCCATGTCTCTGGGTTGTCATAACACATTTTTAAAAAAATCTCTGATACTATATTATATCAATGTCAGTTTCACCAGATTCAGAACACAGACGCTAATTATAGGCAGACTATTAATATATTAGGAATTAGTCATTAACCTCCTCTTTAAGTCAACAGACCAAGGAGACTCAGTTTCCTCTACAAGCTCAATAAAGGTAACCTTGAGTCTTATCATTGACATACACTCCTAAGATACGCTAATGATTCCTTAAAAGAAGCCCATTTTGGCCAGCACACTGGCCACCTAGTAAGAAAAAGAAAAAGTGAAAAAAAATTGGAGACAAGTGGAATGAAGTGGAGGAGTGGAATAAGAAGGCAAAATAGTTGGCACCAGAGAAGAAATATAAAACATACCAAATAAAAAAGATAAAACTAAGAACCAACATATCCAATTACAGGATAATAGATTGCTATTTAAGTAATCTCACAGCAACAATTTAACTATTGACTTCTCATGTGGGGTTGGACAGATCTTTCCATTTTCAGGGATCTGAACAAATGTTATTTTCTACTTACTTGTGCCTGTTTGCATACTTTAAAAGGCTGAAGTGTTTCTTGGTAGAATAGCTGATGATAAGCCTGCAGGTCAAACCAAAAGTATGTACTGTTCTTCCAAAGCTACAGATGGAATAAGTACATAAATTATTACCACCCAATTATTAGGTCTTTAAAAAGTTCTAATTTCTGATGCAAGTAATTGTTTAGCTCCTTGAGGTCATCCTAAATCAGGTTCAATTTAAGATGGTTTTAATCTTCTATCATATACTGGCAACAGGACAAACTATTTAGTGGAACTGTCACTGGAATGTTATATTCCTAAAATATATCCTTCTTATCTAATTGGCCATTAAAAAGTAAAAATCCTAATTAACATTTGAAAAACAACCACATTTTTGTGGAATAAAGCCAAAAACTGAATGTATTTTAGTATTTTATGTGCAAAGTTACACAATGTTGAAACCAAGTTCTATTCTAACAATTGAGGCAGTTAAATGCTTTTGATTTTTCACTTGGGAAAAATTATAGTTTAGGAAAAGGTTTGGAGCAAAGAATAAACTTGAGGGGAAAGCTTGTAAATTTTTTGTTAATTTTGATAAATATTTAAAAGAATTTATTACAATTATAGGACATGTAAAACTCAATGATCTGAATTGAAACTATACTACTGATACTACTTGCAATTCTGAAAAGATATAATACTATAAGAAGTCATTGTTTATGCTAAAACCCCAGAAAATTTAAGTGTAGATAATATCGGACCTGTATTCTAAATTTTCCAGCTACTAAAAGTTTCTATTGGCAATCAGTTACACAATCACAAATCAGTCTTTACCTAAATACATTTTAGCTATTCATTGTGTTTTTAATGTAAGAACAGACCATGAAAAATTATAATATGTATGTTTAAATTTTAGCCAAGTAACATTATAGAACTTCCTAGAATAGGGAAAAGTTTTGACACCAAAGATTACTTTCCTGACATGGAGATTTCTTTTTTATTTTTCCCTTTCCCCCTACTTTGCATGGAATGAATTACTATTCAATCTTTAGAGGTTAAATATACAGTCACTTTCTACCTTGTTCTTTGAACGTTCACAGAACTTGGTGAAGAAGTATCCAGCTCTACTTTCCACATACAAAGATTGCAGCAAGTTTTCCATGTCAGATCCAAGCAAGGCAGCATTAGCCGTAGCTTTTTTAACCTAGACAACAAAGCATAACTCTATTATCCACCAAATAATAACTAGCAATTCTATAGCACTGTAAGTTGATCCTCACAGCAACCCTGGGAGTAGGTGCTATGACATTCCCTTTTGCTGATAAGTTTCCTCACCTAGCAATCATCAGAGTCTGGAGTCAAAGTTAGAAAAACCTCCACATCCAGTGTTCTATCCATTATATCATTTAGATGACTCTGAAAATACTTCTTTCTGTTTTCTTAAAAGGCAGGTATAGAGCAATGGGATTTCATCAGATCCACAAAACTATCATTTTCCTCTGGCCTATTTCACTTTATTTTTGTACCACTCATGTAACTGATGTAGTATGGCCATATCTGACAGTCCCAAGTAGTCCATAGAGCTGATGATGGCAGTAGCCTTTACTCTATTATGGAAGAATATGATTTTAAACTTCCTGTTGAACCTCAAATACTTGTGTTTCAGGTACAGTGATGTATTTTTTTCCCTCTAAGAAGTCTTCCAAGTTTCTGTTGGTGGCCTTCTGTATTACTATTCTTTTTGCCTCGAGGTGCTGCTATTATAGCCATGGGAAGGTAATAAAGAAACCATGTTCAGAACTATTAATTGGCCTGAGGGGACTCTCTTAAGAGTTCCACACTAGGCTGTGGCCTGCAGCCACATGGTCATGTAAGTCCTCATAAAAACTTTGCTGCTTATGCATTTCTCTGCCAACAAAGCTGGCAATCCTTATGTCACCCCAGAAACATGAAATGCTGGCTCCACTTCCTTCCTTCTCTGAGCCGATGCGAATGTCCAGCACTCATAATAAAGGGACCCAAGAATAATGTGAACTTCTTTGTTTGTTTCACAAAACCTCAACATCTTCTTTGGCATCTGGGATACAAAACATGATGATTTAAGTAAGGTTCTTGTTATCTCTCCGTGTTTTAGAAAATCCTGACTATCAGCATCATACACCAAATCATAATGGATTCAATAAAAGAAAGCAGGAGAATGGTCTTAATGAGAAGAAAAGAAATGTCCAAAAACAATAACTGTGCGAAATTATACCTACCCTTTTAGTCTATACCCAGAGGTTGAAGGTTCTATAAAAGAATATGACACCTACGGAGTATGAAAATTATGTACAGAATAAGGACATTAGATTCCCTTGAATTAGATAGTACTAATCTGGAAATAATGTGTCTTTAACTTTTGGAAACTCTAAATTCTGAAAGGATGTTATCAAGTTTTACCCTATTTTTACATTTCTATTCAAGACTTCAAAGGCTTCTATCTTGCATGAAAAGTATCACACTGAAAAACAGAGAACATAGGTAGTTCTAGAAACAATAATTATTAATAACTAAAAATGTCATCTTTGTTGGTACCTTGGTACTTTATGCTGGTCTGGCCCTATCAACTTTGGAACTAAAGAACAATAAATATGTTATTTTCATTTCAAAAGAAAATGTGGGGAAAACATCTTACAAAAGGAAAAGTGTATATTACTTTATAATAAACATTCTCCCCAAAACCAAAATCACAGCATCATAGAATCATGTGCCAGGTTGGCATTGTTCAAAATACTTACAATGGTTTCTTCAGTATAGCTGAATTTTCTATCTAACTGAGGCTTCAGACACTCAGAAATGTCAGTAAAAGATGTTAAACGAATAACTTTGCTGCTTACAGTCATGCACTTTGTACTAGAATAAAAAGAGATAAGGAACTCAACAAATCAAGTCAAATAAATGTTTTTGAGGACCTATTACATGAAAAGTATTATGCTTAGAACTATAAAGGATATGAAGGTATGATGGTATAGGATATAAGTACAGTACCAGTAATCTAGTTAAGGAAAAAAGATACACAAGGACAAAAAGAAAAATAACAATGAGACAAATTGGTAAATGCCTAAAAGGTGGTAGAGACAATAAATCTATGGCCATTTTAAACTGACAGTCCTTGCGGGCTCAGAGCACAAAGATGGTATTTAAGAAGAAGAATTTAGATAAGTGGAAAGGGAAAGGCAGTATAAATCAGGGGTCACCATAGGATCAAAGTTAAGAAGGTAGGGAAATACCCTACCTTGGTGATGAGACAGTTGGTCAGTTTGGCAAGAGTGGAGGGTTCACATAGGAGAAAATTGGTAAATAAGATTAAAAAGGTTTCTGCCTTTCTGGGTTCAGATTATGGAGGCATTAAGCCAGGCTAGGGAATGTGTGCTTTACGGACTGTGGAGAGCTATTAAAATTTTCTTTTAAGTTGTTTTTATTATAAACATAATCATTAACAAAATAAATAAGAAGTCTTTCCTGATCCCCCTTAACTCTAGTATCTTCCCTCTATTGGTAATTGCCACTTTATCCTGTACATGTCTTGTTAGTACAGAACTGTTTTCATGCCATCTCCTCTATTGGACTTTGAGTTCCTTAAGGGTAGGGAATGGGTTTTTGCCTTCCTTTGTATGCCAGGCATTTAGCACAGTGCTTGACATGTTGTAAGCACTTAATAAATGCTCTTTAATCAACTGACATAAAACCCTTAGAATTTAACAAATTAGACCCCCCCCAAAGAAGGAATAGGGACTAAACCTGTGATTTCATTGGAAAAGAGAACTCTTTGGTGATAAAATTTCTTCTCCTGATATAGATCTGCTATGTAAAGTTTGAAGAGAGTTGCCTGTATCCCTGAGAGATTATGTAACTTGACCAGAAATACATAGATATTATGTGTCAGAGATAGAACTTGAACCCAGGTCTTCTTAGCATCAAGATTAGTTATCTATGCACTGCCCATGTTTTTCCTTTGTAGGAAATAAACAAAAAGACATTTTTCTCTGTATATGCTTCTAAGTATATCTGAAATCCAGTCACTTTTGGCTTTTTTCCCAGAAAAATACAATTGTGGTCAATGTAGTATTTTGATCTGGTTTTGCATCATTTCATATAGGTTCTTATTTTCCTGTGAGATTCATATTTATCACTTTTACAAAATCATATCTATATTTTAAAAATAAATTTTCATTTTTTTAATGAACAAAAATCTTCCTTCTGTCCCTTCTATTTCCTCCCATGCATTGAGAAAGAAAACCAAAATCCCTATTACAAACATGTATAGTCAATCAATGCAAAACAAATTCCTGCCTTCGCCATTTCTAAAAAACAAATAAAAAAAAAACCATCTGTCTCAATCTTCACTCTGAATCTATTGCCTTTCTATTCAGAGGTAGGGAGAATGTTTCTTCTTGAGTCCTTTGGAATTGCAGTTAGTTATTGCATTGATAAGAGTTTCTAAGTCTTTCAAAGTTGATTATCTCTACAACACTGCTGTTATTGTATAAATTGTTCTCTTGGTTCTGCTCACTTTACTTTGTATGTATTGATAAAAATCTTCCCAGGTTTTTTTCCTAAAACTACTGCCTTCATCATTTCTTATAACATAATAGTATTCCATCACATTCGTATAACCCTAACTTGTTCAACCATTCTCCAATTAATGGGTACCCCCTCACTTTCCAATTCTTTGCCACTGCAAAAAGAATTACTATAAACATTTGTGTACGTATGGGTCCTTCTCTTCTTCCTTTAAACTCTTCACGGTATAGACCTAATGCTGGTATCACTGGATGGAAGGGTACGTACAATTGAATAATTTTGGGACATAGTTCCAAATTGCTTTTCAGAATGGCTGGATCAGTTCACAATTACCAATAAAGTATTAAAATATCCTTTTCCCCCCAAATCACCTCTGGCATTTGCCATTTTTTGTCAACTTGATGAGCGTGCATTGCCATTTCTCTAATTATTAGTGATTTAGAACATTTTTCATGTAGCTAGTGACAGCTTGGATTTCTTCCTTTGAAAACTTCCTATTCATATCCTTTGACCATTTATCAATTTAGGAAAACTTCTTATTCTTACAAATTTGAATCAGTTCCTGATATATCTTACAATGAGACTTTTATCAGAGAAACTTGCTGCAAAGATTTTTTCCCATTTACTTGTGTCTCTTCTAATTTTAGCCACATTGATTTTGTTTGTGTAAAAACATTTTAATTCTGTGTACTATGTCTCTTAAGATGAGAAAGTCATGAACAGGTAATTTATTCCTTGCTCCTATAATTTGTTTATGATGTCACCCTTTAGGTCTAAGTCATGTACCCACTTGGAACTTATCTTAGTATATGGTGAGATATATTGGTGTATACCTAATTTCCACCAGTTTTCCAATTTTCCTAACAATTTTTGTTAAATAGGCATTTCTCATCCAAATTAGAAGTGATCTCTGGGTTTATGAAACACTACCCTACTGTGCTCATGTGCTTCTGTATAGTGAGCACCAAATCTGTTCCACTGATCAACTTCTCTATTTCTTAAGCAATATCTAATTGATTTGCTGATTACTGTTTTGAGCCTCTTCTTTTCCCACTTTTTTCACCCATTAATTCCCTTGAGATTTTAGACTTTTTATTGTCCCTTCCACCAGGTCTATAAAGTAGTCCTTTGGTAATTTTATTGATATGGCCCTTAATAAGTAAATCAATTTGGGGATTATTGTCCTTTATACTATATTGGCCCAGTCCTTGTTGTTGTTCTTCAGTCATTCAGCTGTGTCCATCTCTACATGACTCCATGGGGTCTTCTTGGTGAATACACTGGAGTGGTTTACCATTTTCTTCTCCAGTGTATCCCCATTTTACAGATGAGGAACTGAGACAAATAGGGGTTGAGTGATTTGCCCAGGGTCACAGAGCCAGTAAATGTCTAAGGCCAGATCTGAACTCAGACCTTCCTGCCTCCATGCCCGGTACTCTATCCACCATACCATCTAGCTGCCCCATATCTAGGGAGTTTAGTCTAGCTGCGAACAATTACCATTTCTCCAGTTACACAGAATTGTCTTTGTTTGAAAAGTGTTTTGTAATTATAGTCATAAGTTCCTCATGTGTGTGTCTTGACGTAGTCTCCTAAGCATTTTTACATATTCTGTGGTTATTTATGGAATACCACTTTCTGTCTCTTCCTGCTGGATTTTGTTGGTAATACACAGAAATAATGATAACTTATATGGGTTTATTTTCTATCCTGAACATTTGTTGAAGTTGTTAACTTGTTTTAAGTAGTCTTTAAGTAGTCTTTTAGTTAGCTCTCTAGGGTTCTCTAAGTGAACTGTCATATCATCTGCAAAACAATAATTGTGTTGCTTCTTTGCCTATGTTTATTTCAATTTATTTTTCTTGGCTTATTACTATAAGGAGCATTTATTGCACTAAATTGAATAGTAATGGTCATAACAGACAGCCTCACTTTATCCCTTTAACCTTATTGGAAAGATCTCTAGTAAAGCTCTTGGTTTGAAATAGATTCTACTTTTCATATTAAGGAAAGATATTTATGTCTATGCTTTCTACTGTGTTATTTTTAAAAACTTTTTAAATAGATTTTATTGCTTTGAGGTTTTTCTTTTCTTTTCTTTTTTCTTTTTTGGCATCACCATGGTTTCATCTAGGTTCCCTTTCATTCTCCTTTCCAAAGAGCCATCCCCTGTACAAAATAGGATTTTTAAAGAAAGGGGGCAGTTAGGTGGTGGAGTCGATAGAGTACCAGGCCTGGAGTCAGGAAGATCTGAGTTCAAATCCAGGCTCAGACACTTCCAACTGTGTGACCTTGGGCAAGTCATTTAACCCTGTTTGTCTTTGTTTTCCTCAAGTGTAAAATGAATTGGAGAAGGAAATGGAAAACATCTCCAGTATCTTTGCCAAGAGAACTCCAAATGGGGTCATGAAGAGTTGAACACAACTGAATAACAACAATTTTTAAAGAAAAAGAAGAAAAATAAGCATAGCTGATCAATATATTGAAAAAAAAATTTTAAATGTTTGCAACACTTGGGAACCTCCAACTTCTGCAAATGCATGGAGTAAGAATGTCTTTTTGTGTCTCTTTTTCTAAAACATACTTCTTTATAAATTTTTTAATATTCACTTTTGATTTTGTGGCTGTTACTTCATTTAAATTGTTGTAGTTATTGTGTAGTTTTCCTGGCTCTGCTTACTTCACTCTGTGGCAATACATTCAGATGTCCATATTTCTCTGTATTCATCTCATGTGTCATTTCTTACAGTACAGTAACATAACTCATCAATGTTCCACAATTTGGTCATTCCCCAATCTTTAGACATTTACTTTGTTCCCGATCATTTGATCTCACAAAAAGAGCTGCTTTTTCTAAGTGTATATGGGGGCTTTGTTCTTATCAATGGCCTCCTTGGGACATAAGCCTAATAATGGAATCAGCGGGTCAAAGGGTATGGATGTTTTAGCCACTTTTTTTGCATGATATCAAATTGCTTTCCAGAATGGTCTTAATGATTCCCCTGTTCCACTAACAATGTACTACTGTAACTGCCTTTCAACAATCTCTCAAACGTTGACTTTTGCCATCTTTTGTCATCTTTGCATTGTGCATCCCTGTGCAGTTTGCAGAGTGTGAGGTGAAACCTCAAGGTTACTTTTATTTGCATTTCTTTTATTATTAGTGATTTGGAACATTCTTTCATGTGATTGTTAATATGCTGTGATTCCTCTGGAGAAGTTTGTTCATATCCTTTGACCACTTATCTACTGGGGAATGGTTTTTGGTATCCTGTACCAGGCCACAATTTCAGAATTTTTTCAGATGTTTGAAGTCAAACATTTATTTA